AACTCTGAGCATAATTCTAGAATCACTCTATTAGCTACAAATATCACTTTATGGCAGTCTAGGAATTGCGCCCAAAACCCCCTTGCTTTAGATTTACTGACATACTGACTGTGGATACATGACCAATGAGGTCAAGTTCAATAATATCAATAATAATTAGCCAAGGGTAGATTTAGTTTGTGATAGAAAACGTATCGATTAAAATTAATTCATTACATGGGAATGCACTTTTCATGTTATAATTATTTAAGTTCTAAGTTGCAAGATATAGCGGGACACAAAAACAAATAAAAAATGAGCGTCAGTCATTGTATCAGTCATAAGAGATCCAATGCTTAACATTTGTCGCGGTGAACCTAGCGGGTTACCGGGGTTTCGGTTCGACGTGCATGAGAAGGAACGGGGCGGTTTTTAGTCAGTAAGAGTCTGACACTCACCCGCCTCACCCAGGAGGGAGAAGTCATTCGATGATTTTCCCCCTTAAAAAAAATGCTTAACATTTACCCCTAATGACTTGCAGATAGGCATGCTAGAAACCACCTTTATCTGGTCGTCTGTACATCTTGTGGGTACAATAAAAAATACTTCAATTAAACTGTCAAACACCAAGCGGTCACCGGTGACCGCGACCTATTGTTCTTTAATTGTGTCTATAAAACCGGTACTCGACGAGTTAATACAAAATAGGTTTTCTTATGGTTGCCTACATTAAATTATTCGCCAAATAAGTGGTAAATCTCGTCCTGTTCAATAACACATTACGTTAATCGACGACTAAAATTAAAAAGAAATGTAAATTTTTACTTCTATACCGTTAATTGATAGAAAAACGTCTTTAAAAATAGCTCTTCCTGGATTCTAGGCTCCATTAGAGAATCTAACCGAACACGGCTAGGCCGTTTCATTAGGTACTCAAAAATTTAAAAACTTCTCCCAAATTATCCAGCCAGACGTCTCTTCTACAACTGCTTCGGTGGTTGAATGACCGTCAGTGTGACTACCGAGTGATTTCGGAAAAAATATATTGGAGTTTTCTATTTTTCCTTAATTACTCGGAAGGGAAGTCATAATCCGATAGAACGTGAGCCCTTTATCGCATGGACTCTTAACAAAACACTATTGAAATATGCACGCTACAGATCTCCTATTTTTACTGTTCCATCGAACTGTACAGTCGACCTTTTAAATCATAAGGGGTTTAGGGTCCTATATTTGGGATGTACCTCTGCATATCTCATCGTAGAGTCTAAAGCGTCACTTAATTATGATCATCTTATATACATGTATGTATATCTTACTTCCTATCAAAAATCTCATCTATAAACATAGTTAGGTACAAAACTCTCATCTCACTAGGTCATTAAGAGGTATGTTATCATACTGATAACGAACAAATCCTTGTAAACCTTGAAATGGTTGACCATGACGTCATATCTCTCGTCTCTATCATCGGAAGTTATCATTTAGACATCAGATGTGGTTTGAGATGATTTTTCAAAACTGCTTACAAAGTTTTATGTGCGGAAAGAAACAATTACTATCGTTACTGCTAAGAAAAGGTTGTAATATATTTATACTATTGAAAAAACAATAGTAAATACTTGTATTTTTGTTTTTAATAAATAAATTCTTAATCGTTTTGATCATTTCATCCTCGTTGAGGTCCATCCTGTTCCATGTGGTTGAATACCAATGACTAAACATTTAGGCAATCAAAAAAGTACACAGCGAATGGAATGACAGCAGTTCGTAGAAACGTTCAGTAACACTGCCAAATGAAAACAAAAATAAAAACATATCATAGTAGAAACAAAGTGAAAAATTAAATGTTATAGTTTTTAAACGTTGTTAGGAATCCTAACAAAGTTTAAAGCTACAAATTTATTTTTAGTTTACGTTGCAATGCAGCTATTTTTATATATAGAGGTAGTTTAGAGAATATTCAGCGTTATAGGCGACTTTTTTCCTCTGAATGCGTGGGCAAAGTCATTGGAAAAAGCTAGTATTAATTGTATAATATGATTACCAAAACACAGCATGCATATGTGGTCGCACATTTGCGTGGGACTCTGTTCGCTCCATAGTTTTTTTTTTTGTTATATTTTTATGTCACCGTGGGACTCATATTAGTTTTAATTTGTGTTCTAAATATGAAGAACAATGTCGTTTCTTTATGTGCATAATAAAATAAGGTTAGGTTTTTTTAAACTGTCAAACACCAAGCGGTCACCGGTGACCGCGACCTATTGTTCTTTAATTGTGTCTATAAAACCGGTACTCGACGAGTTAATATCTGTTTCGACTTAAAAATATCATTACAGGTTTAGGTTTAGTAAAATTGGTCGTTTTTGGTTTTAATAGTTGCCTAGTTTTTTTGTGGTCAATTTAACTCTTGTTTTAACATACTTTCGTCTTTGCAACTCCCCTGGTGTTGCGTAGGGCACTGATCACTTACCATCAGGTGACCTGTATGCTTGTTTACCTCTTTAGGGAACAGTGAGTAAAGTTCCCTATGAAAAGGAGAATCCTTTGACTAGGCGAGGTGATCGTAGTGGGCTGTTCTGCATAACAGTTGTTCGTTGGGATTTTCAATCCATCTTTATTCACATTGTAAACATTCACATGTATGATGTAGGATAAGTGTTGTCAATCGTCTATGCGCGTCATCTGATGTCTGTTCAAATTTTAGTAACAATACAACATACAAAACTAGATTAAAATTAAATACATCTTCATTCTTCACCCTCTTTTAAGAATAAACAGTCGCAGTGTAACGTTAAAATTTTGTCATCAGTCAACAAATAAGTGATTACAGTAAGTGTCAACTTGTGTAGGTCGTAATGTACACAATGTAAGTCGGGTGACATCAAGATTCTTTACTTCGACCAAAAATGTAATATTATGTGACTATGTGCCTATGTGTAGGTATGTGTGACGTCATTATCGAAAAATTAAAGCACGCGTAAATAAATCATGGGTTACATGGTCATGTAAATTTTAGTTATTTTTGTTTATTTCTTTTCATTAAGCACCTTGTTACGAATAATTTTGGTCAATCTAAACATTATACGATATACTTTTTTGAACAGTTAATGTTCAACGATATATTTGAAGTTGCAATAATATTATCAGAAACTTATGTAGAACAAAACGTAATCAATAATCAGGTTAAGAAAAGTTAGTAGTAAGCAATTAATAGTGAACTAAATACCGTATCGATTGATAAGATTAGGGTTGAGAATACTTGCACAACACAGTTTGTTGAATGCATGTCAACTAAAAGTTATTGCACCAGTGATAATAAATCAATAACTGTTTTGCCACTGAAACAATCGAAACCAAACATTGACTTAAAAAATAGTAGATACAAATTGCAATCAATCTTCAAAAATAAAATCTACTTCACGTTCAAAGGTTCGTTCTGTATCTGTATCTTTCGTAGAATGCAAGAGTTCTTAATTAGCTGCATGATACTCATGTTTATTAGCCAGTAATGCAGCATATGAGCTCCGATTTCCTAAAGCACTGCTTAATAGTTCACTTCAACTTTACAGGCACATCGCAACTACCTCGATTTAGGTAGGTAATAAAACCTAAATACGTACATCGGTAAAGTCGATTACTGATTTAGTCGATCACATTTAGTGGAAGCTCCAAGTCCGGTCTATTTTTATTTTAGACCAAACGAGCTCTTAAAATAGACACCTTTCAACCAAACCCGAATTTGGTCTAGACATTTTTGTACTTTTTTCTAGGAAGTATAAGTAAAAATCAATCATGGCGGCTTCCTATGAATCAGTCACCGTACCCACCGTGGTTAATCGGATAAAATCTCAGCGCCTCACCTGGTCGTCGCGACCTGCAATAAAAACAAAGTTTTATAAACTAATGACAGCTGTCATCGTGACAGATGTGGCCGGCACACTCAGCCGTGTTTAATCGACAGAATACGACAAAGATGGACGACTATACATCGAGCGTAGAAACGCACGGAGGCGCGGCCTTATCAAACGATATGAAATGATGTCAAATTTTAATGTCACATGTCAAGTTTCCGTAGATCGTGGGCAAGATTGTGTTCGGAAATGTTCTCGTAAACTCGTGCTTTCTTTGATCAAACTACCGATTCATGTTTATACGAAGACTTACATGGGATATTGTCAATCTCCTTTATTTACTTTTACTTTCTTTACTTGATGAATATATTTTAAATACTTGATTCTAAAATAAAACATTTAAGAATATAAAAATCAGTAGCCTACCAGTAACGGGAGTTTTCAGAGTTTCCGGACAATACGCGCCGTGTCCAAAAGTACTGCTTTCTGCATCAGCCTTTGACTCAACCATCTAACGCTAGCCTACTCAGGTGTTGGTCGAGGCTTTTAGCAAAAAGATACTAGCAAATACAGCTATCGGCACAATGATCGCTGAATTCTTAATCTTATTATGATATAAAAAAATTATTTTTATTTAGAAACTATAACGATACCTAAATTATTATTTTGATATGTATTACATTAATACCACATCAACTTATTGATACATCTACGATCGAAACCTATCAAAAGTTTATCGCGGTAGACGACAAATGAAGTTCATTTGTGGTTCAGTAACTTTTCCATTACAAAAACAATGCACTATCAACAAGATACAAAAATCACTACAAAAAATATTGGAAAGAACGTCGTACAATATGAGCGAACCAAATTGCCTCAAAAAACGGCAGGCGGATCGGTCCTACCAACTCACTAACAACATGTCCAATTAACCGAAAATATTCGAAGATACAATTATTTTTCAATCACAAAGGTACCAAGCACCGTTTAAGTAGATGTTAAAAAATAAATCTATAAACCCGATATTTTGCATTGTTGAAGCATTCGATGTCAAAGTAACTCTCACGCGAGTGCTAATAGCTTTTGATTGAGCCGTCCAGTGTGGTGTTCGACAAACGATCGGCGACCCGTCACTTGATTCTGAACACTGGATATTTTTTATAGACGACAACAAAACTCCATACACGTATCTCACAGATGATACAAAACAAAAACTAGCAAGATGAGATTCCCCGGGAGGCCGTGGGTCGCCCTTCTAGTGACTATATTCTTAGTCGGCGCAGAAGCACAATTCATCAGACGTAAGTACCTCTTAATCATCACCATGTTACTTAGCACTTGATATTTATTTTGTGATCGATGCAGACTAAACAAGCACTCGAATGCATTTTACCTTCGAGTGTTAGGAATTTAATGGACTCAGCGGATTACTGTGATGTACGTTGCCTGAGGGCTTACCTACGTCAGTTAGTTATAGATGCACCTTACCTATAATTCAAGACTGAAATGGTTCACGCAGCTTATATCGAGAGGGTTTGTAGTGCGGAAGACTTAACAGGTTACCGAGGCTCTGGCTAGAAGCAGGAGTAGTAACGGGATGCTTTTAGTCAGTAAGAGCCTATCGCTTTGTTTCGCCTCACCCAAAGTGGGAAGAGTGATTGGATGATTTTCCCCCTTAAAAAATGGTTTGTAGTGATGTGAGAATGTCAAAGTTGAAAATTTTAAACTAGTAGTTTTACAAAGGGTTGGTTAGGTACTATTTTTACAGATATTTTTAGTATTCAACAGACAAACTAGTTATTTTAGTGTAACAAGGCTCATCGGATATTATTTAGAAAACTGCTATTTGCATATTCGATTACTAGAAAAAGGATATGAAAATGCCATCGTATGAGTGTTTCATTACATCATTATCACATTTGTTTCTTAAACAAAAGAATTTTGAATACTAAAATAAACATGTATCCTATGACCACCTAAATATACCGCAACACAACATAAAATAAACCTTGCAACATTATAATTAAGGCGTACCAGGAACAATAACTGATTAAAACGGGGTTAAAAACTAAATTAACATAGTTTAGAAGACGTTCAAACATATAGGTCAGGGATGCTGCATGTGATCATGTGAACAGCCGATAAAAATGACGGGAAACTCATAAAAAGGTCGTTCATCTTACTAAGATTTCTGATGAGTCAGACACTGTGGTAACAGCTGTTAGCCCCAACCTAACAACCAAACTTAATAACTCATTAAAATCAAAGAATCTTGCAACAGAACATAGGAGCCATAAAACGAGAAACACGGTTTCTATTATTTTGCATCGTAAATAAAGAGCATTGCTTAATTCTTAAATATGTGTCAAACATAAACAAAACATCACGCCTACTTGTAATAGCTTACAGTTTATTGAATTTTCCCAACTTAATTTGATTGTAGCTACTCTACACGACGACTTTTATCCGCGAAGGGGTAGACAGAAGTGCACATTACGTAATACCCACTTTTCAATATTTATGTTATGAGTCCCATGTAATAGGGGTGAGCCTATTGCCATGTACCAGGCACAATGTCAAACTCCGTGCTAGCACTGAATTAAAAAAAAATCCTTGTCTTTGCCCGACCCTGAATCGAACCCAAGCCCCCTTGCCCTGCAGTCGTACTTACGACTATTCGGCCAACGAGGCAGTATAGCAATTTCTCTCCTCTTAATTCAGATAGTCTGTAGAGATTTTAGAAATGCGAAATTCCAAAATACTTTCTTAAATCAAAAAGTCTTTAATTCTTTCTTTCATTTACATCATCATCAGCATCCATGAAAAACCACTAAGTTGGATCTTGAGCTCTTCACATCAAACTACCGCCAGCCACCGCTAGTTAGAATCATCAACTAGACGAATTGATGACATCCATTTATGGCCCTTTTCCTTCCAAAGATGAGTGAGGCACGTTATATATGTATGCAATAAACTTATTCAAATAAAATGCAATACAAAGTTTTGATTAGATTGTAAACTAATGTCCATTAAAAGTTTACTGCTTCACTGACAATGGTATAAATAAATCGCTGTTATTGGCTTACATCCTTATTACGTAATTGTGTACTTTCCTTAATCAAAAATAATTTATTTCAACTGTTCAATATAATAAAATATTAAAAAATAATCACACTTTCATTAATTGATTTTATGACCAACTTCATTTTAGTATTTTTCTAGCAATTTTTTAAGAAATAAGTACTCTGTTCGACGCTAAAAAAACGTGACGTCACAATTCACAATCTAGTACAAAATTGTTGTTTTTGACAGATCGAAAAAAGTATTGAATTTGACTAGTTGTAAAATAAGGTATTATGTATTATAACCTATATAATTGCTTTCACTTCATGAAGTTTTATTGTAAATCTAAATTTGCCATAGCTCTAATGAGTTTAATGTTAGAATTTAGAAAAGATCTTGTCATGTAACATCAAACACACTATCACCATCCACTACACGACTATGACTCTACATAAGCGGGTTGCTATAATCTCCAAACTTGGCAAGCGTTTTGGGGAACACAGTATAAAAGGTCCAGAGCATAACATTAAACTGTCAAACACCAAGCGGTCACCGGTGACCGCGACCTATTGTTCTTTAATTGTGTCTATAAAACCGGTACTCGACGAGTTAAATCCCTAACTTACCTATAAGTTAGTTGCAATTCTTGTAATACACCTACACTGGTGTACAAGCTGGTAGGAGGCATTTCGCCATACCAACCAAATCTCCTTGTATCTAATAAAACCAAAAACCTAGTAAAACTTAAGACGGACACAACTGAAACTAATCTCAAACAAGACTAAACTAAATACATATTTAATTTTACCTAAATTAAAATGAATCTGGTCAACCCTGAACACAATCATGTATTGTGTTTTAATTTCCAACAAAATGTGAACATGTCCGCTAAACGTTTTACGCAGCCTTTGTATCTCTATTTTGCATTTCATCCAGTCGGCTAAGGGCGTGTTTTAATCATATCTTACTGTCAAGCTTGACCCCAATCTAATGCAGACACAACAAACGCTTAGACTTCGTCTAAATACAAAATTCATTTCCACCATTTCAATTTCACATGCAACTAAAAATAATTTGTTATCCTCATAATTCCTGATACATTTCATTAATTCAATTACTGTTAAAATATGATATTCATTTTTAAATGAACTAAAATATCCAAACTGTGGTCTTCGCTATAATAATCAAATTAGCGGTCGGGTTACATATCATTGCCATTTCCCGAATATCCTTGTGACGTTTCCAATGCAATTTATTATTTAATAGGACTAATTATAGTCAAAAAGTCTGTCAGTCTGTGAGATAATTTGTGATACCACATTTATAACTCGATGCAATGGCTGTGACTAACCGAAAATGCGTATCAAATAAAGCAATATTTACACCGGCTAGTCGATCTATCCGTTGCCTACTCTGTCCTTTAATATGGACATGGAGCAACGAAGGCGTGTCACAATTTAGTCTCGCTGTGCGGGACAAAACAATAATTGTGACCATTACTCCGTCAATGAAGTCAACTGCACTGATTGTGAACCAAGGGTGGATGACTTTTCAAATTAAAAATTTAACTGGTCATAAACAGTCATGGGTACTGATTGAAGTTTAAGACGATGTACTTGGTCTTGAGAATGTTGATAATGGAATTATTGTGGAATTTAGTTAAAGTTTCATACGACTATAAGTAGAGACTGAGAAAAATGCGCAAATTCAATGCTATGAATGGATCTGTGAATGTTGTAAAACATTGATTGGTCGCTCAATAGACCATGCTATATTTTATGATACTACAAACTCTCCTTTGCAAGATCTTTGATAAAAAAAACTATTTAACTAAATCCATATTAATATTATTAAACCCATGTCATCGCATTCCGATTAGATTGCTACTCAATACATCCATACAGCCATCCCACGGCCTACCAGACACAACTAATTGAAGTTGATAAAAAGATATTTGAATTAATAACTGCACTTGAAAGTAATGGACACTTGATTGAACTATCCGTTGGATAGTTAACAGACTTATTGTTCGTAGGTACATTTGGATCGTTTATATGACAGTCAGTTAAACTCTCATTCCCATTGACTGTTCCACTGTTGTGATGATTGCCGCCGATGTCTGGGTGTACTTGGAGATGGGAATCGCCATTTTTGACTTGTGTTTCGTCAATATCATCATGGCTATATCTGGCATCCTATCCCTACCAGTGAGCTAAGGGAATTTTTATTCTAAGATGGTTTGTTACGGGTGCGGTTTCATCGCCGAAAATTTTAAAGATCTGCCCATCTCTCCATGTATTTTAAAATACTTATAGTAGCGACGTGAGAGGATACAATATGTGTTTTCTTTTTTTAAAACGTGCAAAAAATGGCTGACACGAATATGATTTTATTTTGTAACCTTTGCAAAGAGTAATGTAATTTTAAAGTGAAAATTTCATTCAATTAAATGAATGAAGTAAATTAAGTTTCTTTTACGGAAAATTTCTAATAAATATACGAGAGATAGTGGAAAAAGCGGTGGTATCCATAAAATATTTTTATCGTTAAAAATTTGTTTTTTCCAAGAGACCACGGGTTATGCTATTAGGAAGCGACGAGGACATTTGAGGGGAAATCCTCACTTTCCTTGCAGCTTGCAACGCTTCCTGGAGTCAGTTTTTAATGTATTCCGTAAACTCTTTAAATATTTTATACGGGTAAATCACATGTTAATCACATTTTCTACCAGTAATTCTTTAAGTAAATACATACAATACGAACAAAGTAAATTAATAGGTCAGTTTGTATTAGGCAAAGTATGTCATGTAATTAAGAGTAGGTATTATATTTTGTAATCGTGATATTTTAATTGTATAAAATAATCAATTTAAAGGCCTAAAAAATGCTTTTAAAAACCAATCTCTCGTTCCACTAACGAATTATAATATAATTAATAGTGACACTGTCATTTTTCATTCAAGACAAGTCTATCCCCGTTTCTAAAGTTAAACTTAATATGGCAAATTGTTATTTCTGTCAAAATACCTGTCTGATAGAATTTTTAACTGTCCGTCTGTGAACGATTCTAATTGTGCTCAGGTGACCTGGTCTGCATCCAGAAATAGATGCGATACGCTGACTGACTGACTATAGTTTGATCGACTAGTTAACGGACGAGTCACGATTATTTACGCATGTCGTGCGAACTATGTTAATCTATTAACTGTTCTTAGTATCAACTCTTTAACCCCTGGTA